TGTGACTAGGATGGTTGGTATTGAAAATGAGATATATCGGTCCACGTTCTGGTACAGTCCCCATATAACGGTACCTCCCGATATTCGGTATTTTGATGATTTATGCCACATTATTTCACGGATTTGTCTAAAAATTGGTATTTGTAGGTCATAACGGGTCCCTGTGCGTGTGACAAAACATTACATGTATAGGTCTTTGTTTTGGTATAGCCCCCATATAAAGGTACCTCCCGATATTCGGTATTTAATTTTTTTTGCCATATTTTTTTACGGATTTGTCTAAAAATTGGTATTTGTGGGTCATGATGGGTCCTAGTTCGTGTGGCGAAACATTGTAATTATAGGTCCACGTTTTGGTATAGCCCCATATAACGGTATCTCCCGATATTGGGTAATTTGATGATTTTTGCCACATCTTTTCACGGATTTGTCTGAAAATTGGTATTTGTGGGTCATAATGGGTCCCAGTTCGTAAGGCGAGTCATTATAATTATAGGTCCACGTTTTGGTATACCCCCCATATAACGGTATCTCCCGATATTCAGTATTTTGATGATTTTGGACACATTTTTTCAAGAATTTTTTTAAAAAATTGTATTTGTAGGTCATAACGGTCATTGCATGTATAGGTCTATGTTTTGGTATAGCCCCATATAACGGTATCTCACGATATTCGGTAATTTAATGATTTTTGCCCCATTTTTACACGGATTGTACGTCATAATGGGTTCTAGCTCCTTTGGCGAAACATTGCATGTGTAGGTCCACGTTTTGGTATAGCCCCCATATAACGGTACCTCCCTATATTCGGCATTTTAATGGTTTTTGCCACATTTCTTCTAATGTTTCCTTTACCCTAAGGTGGAAGGTATTAAAAGTTTGGCCCGGCCGAACTTAACTTTTTTTTACTTGTTTCAAAAATCTTTGATTACATTATTCTTTACAACCCTCCTGAATTAGGCAATTGTATTCTAACCTATTTTTTGGTATTTTATAAATTTAAATCTTTGAGTTTGAAAAATAAAAACATCATTACCAGCAAAAGAGAAACTAACCAACCTGTAGCTACAATAACCTGCCAACTCTGACTATTGATCAGTCAAGACGACACAAGACAACAAATATGCCATCAAATGAGAGAGGCCTACAAGTATCAATTTTTTTTTTTTTCTAAATTAGTTTTAATTAAAAAAGAAACTTGTTGCTTTGTTTTTCAAATTCACTTTACCCCGCAAAAATGGGTGGAAAAAATACCAATCACTTATAGCCATTTAACCCCCATGCGCATGCGTACAACAACTTGTTGAACATTAGTTGTGGTTGTTTTTCTTCTTCTCCATCTGTCTATTTATGCCACAGCCAAATGAAAAGAGATTAAAAGAAAATTTGTCGTTTGACAAACAAACCATAAAAATTGTGATGAAATGGCCATAATTATCAGCTGATGAATGACTTAAAAGCAAATGGCCATTTTATAAATCACAACAGATGCTAGGTGGATGGGTGCTTGAGACGGGGGGTGCAAGGTGAGGAATAGACCAATATTGCTTACCAGTGTTACCCGGTGTATGGTCAACGAGAGCCAGTTAGCCAGCCGGCTCAAATATGGTAAAAAAATTACAAACTAAATACACACTCATAACACCAATACTAGTTTAATAAAAAAAACACACACACAAACTAACAGTTGCAATTTTCAGAAAACAGGTGTCTCTTGTCACTTGCGAATCTGTAGCGCTGAACTAGCGTTGGAAAACAACTTTGGGCCAAATTGGCAAAACATTTAGTGTAAAACTTTAACTTTGTATTGGCCTGTTCACACCATTACCCATTCCAGACATAGCCATTGTCGTAGTTGTTGTGTTGTTGTTGTAGTTTTTTTGCAGTTTATTTTTGTAACCGTTGCTGCTATCGACCCATAATTAGAGGATGAAATCCATTAATGAGTTTGTAATCATTTTGTTTTTCCATTTTTTTTTCGTTCGTTTTAGACAGAAAGTTTTGCTTGCAGCAATTTAATTTGAAGTGGAGGTGGGGAAAGCGTTTGCTTTTTTTGATATTATTTACAAAAAAAGACAGTAGCAACAAATGTAAACGATGGACATGTTGTTTATTTGCCGATATCGTATAGTAGAAATGTGAGAAGCTAATTGACTACTTTTGCAGGGCAAATTTTCCATCACACTATTGTGTATCAATACAGAAGATGACTTGAATGGGAAAAATAAATATTTCTATAAATGTGCATAAGTCAGCAGTAAACAAATCTTGTAAGATATGCTTCAAAATTTTGAGGTGCTTTTGTATATGGTTGAGACTTTCTATAAAAAGTTGTTTGACCTGAGAACCAAAAATTCAACACACGTCGAATTGACTTCTACCCAGTTTAATTTAAAATGTCGATTTAGCGATGTCCGTCCGTCTATCCGTCTGTGGAAATCACTTTAGCTTCCGAACGCAACGAAGTAGATTGATAAAATTTTACTCAAATGTACAGTATGTCTGCAGGACTTTTGGTATGGAAAATGGGCTAAATAGGTCCACGTTTTGGTATAGCTTACATATGTGCTTCCAGTATGCAGGAATCATCCTTGCAAAGAACTGTTTGTAAATGTCCAAGTTTTTTTTTATAGATTTGTGTCTCAGTTTTCATCGGATTTATAATATGTTTGGCATTTCGTGTTTTTAATGGGTACTACTTAACATGAGAGAAAAATTGTCTGTACAGACCCACCTTCTCGTGTAGTTCCCATGTAATTCGTCCTCCCCATATTGACTATTTTACCTACATTTTTGACTAGATTTTTTTCTAATTCGGAATTTGGAGTTCCCAGTGAGTAATGCTGCATGTGACCCATATAAATTCAAGTCTTCGTGTGGCCCCCATATAACTGTACCTCCAAATATTTTGTATTAGTCTGGAGGGTATATTAAGTTTGTCATTCCATTTGTAATACCTCGAAATATTCATTTTAGACCCCACAAAGTATATATCCTTGATGAGCATAAAATTCTATGTCGATTTAGCGATGTCCACCCGTCTGTCCATCTGTAGATATCACTCTAGCTTCCGAACGAATTGAAGTAGCTTCCGAACGAATTGATCACTCTAGCATTTAAATGTGAATAAATCCTTTGTACCTCCTACCATCGCTCGTTACTCCTACCATCGCTCGATACTGGTAGCGTAGCCCGACGTCAAGGAAGTGTACGGAAGAAAACAGCAAACATCAGCAGAAGTAGTTCGAAAAGTAAAGAAGCGTTTTAATCGAAACCCAAGTCGCAGTAGCTGAAAAATGGCTCGTGAGCTGAACATATCGCAATATTCCATTCGGCAAATATCGAAAAATGAGCAGCCGATGATCGCACTTATTAATCGATCGTAAATGCCGAATATTATAGCGAAAATATTCTGGAGGATGTATTAAAGCCTAGGGCACGCAAACATTTTGGCCGCATATCTTGGACATTCCAACAGGACTCAGCACCATCGCACTCAGCACGCGCCACCCAAGAACGGTTCCAAAATGAGGTTCCTCGCTTCAGTTCCACCGCACAATGGCCACCCAAAATCTCCGGATACCAATCCGTTGAACTATTGTGTCTGGAGTATTTTGGAAAGCAAGGTTGGCACTAAAAAAATACCCTCCACCATACTATGGAAAGTATATTAACTTTGTCATTCCGTTTGTAACTCCTCGAAATACTCATGTCAGACCCAATAAAGTGTCAGCGTAAAATTCTAAGTCGATTTAGCGATGTCCGTCTGTCTCTCAGGCTAAAATTTTGCACACATGTTTAATTTTCCAGTAGGCAGGTTAAGTCGTAAATGGGTCATGTAGGTCAACGTTTTCATATAGCCCCCATATAACGGTACCTCCCGATATTCGGTATTTTGATAATTTTAGCTACATTATTCACCGGAATTGTTTCAAATTTGGTATTTGAATGCATACTACAGCCTGTGACAGAAAATTGTCTGTGCAGGTCCATGTCTTCATATAGACCCCATATAACGGTACCTCCGGATATTCGGTATTTTGATGATTTTGGCGACATTATTCACCGGAGTAGATTCAAATTACGTATTTAGAGTTCGTATTGGGAACTACAGTCTGTGACAGAAAATTGTGTATGCAGGTCCAGGTCTTCGTATATGCCCCATATATCAGTACCTCCCTATATTCGGTACTGTGACGAGTTTAGGTACAATACCCACCGAAATTGTTTGAGATGTCGTATTTCAAGTTCGTAATGGATGCTACAGCCTGAGACAGAAAATTGTCTATGCTGGTATTCGCACAGCTCCAATATAACGGTACCTCCCTATATACGATATTTTGATGACTTTAGCTACATTATTCACCGTTTATTTCAAGTTTTCAAATTTGAATATGGTAGTGGCTTATAACAAACAACGCCTATTTAACTCCACGTCGCATAGATCCCAATATAACGGCTATATTCCGAATTTTTAAAATTTTAACAGAATTTTTTAAGGACTTCTTTTTTCTTGAAAATTTCCAAATTCGTTGCAAATGGTGGAGAGTATCCAAAGTTCGGCCCGGCCGAACTTACTGCTTTTAACTTGTTTTAAATGTAAGATTGGTTTTCCGATGGACAGAGTCCCTGCCAGACGCACGCGTGGCACTTTAAATGTTTCACAAATGAATTATATTTAGGTGGATGTGATTGAATTGTACATTGAATAGCAAAACAATTATTATCATCAGGCAAAAATTCATGAATAAACATATTTTATAAGAATACGCATTTTTATTGAATCTAGTTTTTATTATATATAACACTATCAAACAATTCAAAAAACTATGTTTAAATACTCGCTATTACTCATTCATGAACTAAAAATATAATTTTCAACATCTTTAAAAAAGCCAAAGTATATAAAGCAAATTGGTCATACATATGCGGGAAAGTTTTCCAAACTTTTAAAGGCACACATGGTAAATTTCCTCTCTCTCTCTCTCTCTCTCTCTTTTTCAGAAAGTATTGTTCCATTGCAGTTTATGCACTTGAATCCATTTTAATCGTTAGACTGCCCTTATCCGTTGAAGATTTACGCTCCTTGATTTGTTCCTTTAGCTTTTTTCGCAACATAAGTCCACGATTGACGGCCCTTACATCGTCCATTGAACAACTTTCGATGTGTGGAGCAGTTTTCTTTATCAACTTATCGGTTAGCTTTAGCTTTGTGCGGTTCAAACAGACCTCTTGCTTGACACGTTGGCGCAATTGCTCACGATACTGGAAGAGAACATAACTAAGAGACGCTTTTGTTTTGAATTCCATAATGGTTGAATACAAAAAAATAGAGAGAAATGTTGTCTTAATGATAGCTCAAACTGAAGTGATATCTAACTTCTGACCGCCACTGTGTTTAAATATTTGTAAGTTACCCATTACACAAATACATAATCGACATACCTGTGGGCAAAAATGTAGCATGTTCTATTTTGCATTGTTTAATTTTTATTGCTAGTCATAAAAGTTAATTTTTTCTTAATCCATTCTTAAATAAGGTTAATACGCTTCCATAAATTTACCTGTTGCAATACTTGTTCTAATTTTCACGACCATACATGTTTTGCATGATCATATGACATATACCTGATCTAAATATTGTATGTCTATGACACAAAAAAACATGATATAGGTAAAAAATTATGCGCCATATAAAGAAAAGAATAATTTTTTTAATCCCGTCTAAAAGTCCTTTGAAAAGATTTGCAAAAAATTTACTTCTCATATGGCACAATATGTTTGTTTTATTAGACTTTAATCTTCGTTGGTATTTTTGAAGGTCAGAATTTTATGTGGGATTCAGAAATACACATATTCTCATCTTTATAGAGTCAAGGGTGTTACGAATTAAATGATTTTTAACGGTTTGCAGTTGTAAAGTTAAAAAGTACTCAAATGTTTATTAATCCTTAAACATTAGGTTTGGACTTTCTGCGATGTTTTAATTCGATTTAGAATAATTACGCTCTATAAATGTCAGTAAAACGTGCAAAAACGCTAAAAATTAGAAAACGATAAGAATTCGGTATTTGGAGTAAGAACGGGTAAACCGCTGCTTTAAACACTAAAAAAGCGTCCGTCCAAAGCATACACCTACAGGGTGAGATAAAACAAACAAACTCCTGCAAAGTCAAGCGCCATAATTTTTAATTTTTTTTTTTAGAATTATATTGAATGAAAACAAAACAAGTAAAATAGTATCAGTCGGTTTTGCCGACAGATGTATACCCCAGCCTTGAGTTATGAACGTGACAGATTTGGACTATATCGGCTACTTCTTGTACTTTATATGAGATAGGTGCACATTTTCGGAAATATGCGTCAGGTAACAGATATAGCGGACCGAAGTATTCCATTTTCATACTTCATCTAATACAGATAAAATATATTGGTTTGTGCAAAAATTTGAAGGAAATTGAACATTCGTATCAAATTTTATGCGAAATCATAAATTCCGGCAAATTACATATTCATATCAGAATACTGGTTAAGAGAAATATTTATATATAACAAGTTGTTAAGAATCACCGAATTGTTTTGCAAGTTACGACAATTATAAGTTGGCAGATCTTGTGTTGATGAAAATATTGAGAAGCTCCAAGTCTGATTAGAATCGGATGTTAATTTTGCGTTTTATGAGCTTCGTGGATACTCAAAATTTTGATCCTTTGTGGGGGAGGTACCAGAAGGAGTGGACCGATATATTCCATCTTAACACCAGACCTTGGGTTACATTAAATATTGGGATGTGTGAAATTTGAAGACAATCGGACTCTTACATCAATTGTAGGAGAGTTTTAATTATTGAAAATATTGACCCTTTGTGGGGGAGGTACCAGAAGGAGTGCACCGATATATTCCATCTTAACACCAGACCTTGGGTTAACATAAATATTGGCATGTGTGAAATTTGAAAACAATCGGACTCTTATATCACATTTTATAAGAGATGTAATTATTCAAAATTTTGACCATTTGTGGGGGAGGTACTTGAGGGAGTGGACCAATATTGTCCATTTTCACACTTGACCTAGCACTGACGCAAATATTAAGATTTGCAAAGTTGGAGCAAAATCGGATTACCGTTTCTCTTTCCAAAATACTCCAGACACAATAGTCCAACGAATTGGTATCCGGAGATTTTGAAGGCCATTGTGCGCTGAAAATGAAGCGAGGAATCTCATTTTGGAACCATTCTTGGGTGGCACATGCTGAGTGCGATGGTGCTGACCAAAATGTTTGGTCTGCGGCCAAAATGTTTGCGTGACCAAGGCTCCAGGCTCTCCAGAATATTTTCGTGATAATACATCACATTTAAATTTTGGAGTGCTCTAACGATAGCCACTTGTTGTTTTCCAGCCAAATATAAAGAAATCTCACTATCACGCTTGAATTCCATTACTTTTTTTCTGGAAAATTCTCACAAAAAATATTTGCTCCCTTTTGTATATGGTCAAGGCTGCCTAAAAGCCTTAAACAAGTTTGGCCTAAGAGATAAGAAAACTCTTTTCTGGATTTTGATTTACAAACCAAATACTATCAAATCCACTTGGAATTATCTTCAACTATGTATTATTATTGCATTATTTACACAATCATACTTTTTTTTTACACAATTTTTTTTTTTTTTTTTTTCTTTCAGGTCAGTAAAATAAAATGTTTACATTCGTGATTGGAGTTCTGGACTTAATTTTAATTATCATGTAAGTTTGGTATATATTACAAGTGAAAACCAGTAAGGAAAAGTCAAAAGTCGGGCGGGGCTATGAATATTTAATAAAGCTTCCGTAACACAATAATTCATATTGGGAATTTTTTGAAGTACATAGATCATACCACCTATCAACCTTTAGCTTTAGAGCAGTTTGGCACTAATAAATGGAAGGCATATCCAATTCTGTATCGATTTTCACCAAATTTGATGGGCTCATTTTTGTGCTTATGATATCACTTCGATGAGGATTATATTAACAAAAATATATCGAAATGGAAACGTAAGTGCAGAAATTCATTCCATTTGGGTTGATATAAACCATTATTTTTACAATAAACCTGAAATCGGTTTAGGGCCTAATATAGGAGCTTTATCCAAATCTATGTTGTTCTCGATAAAATTTTGCAAAAATATTTCCGAGTTCTATAAGATATCTGGTACCAAATATCATTGAAGTCGGATGAATTATATATATGGTAGATATAGCTATATCTGAACCGATTTTCACCAAAGCACTTGCTTTAGAAGTTCTTGCGTCGGAAGTTTCAAAATTCAGTCCATTCAGTCTAATACTAGGCATTTGGTGAACAAAAAACCTGAAATCGGATAAATATATATATATATATATATATATATATATATATTATATATATATATATATATATATATATATATATATATATATATATATATATATATATATATATATATATATATATATATATATATATATATATATATATATATATATATATATTATATATATATATATATATATATATATATATATATATATATATATATATATATATATATATATGGGACCCATATCCAAATCTGAACCGGTCTTGACAAAATTTACAACACTTATTTCTGATCTGTATCTGATACCACATATTATTGTTGTGGAGTGTATATTACGCATGTGAGGGGCTTAAAACCCCAAACCGGATGAAAAACATTATATGGGAGTTCTACCTGTATCTGAACCGATTTTCAGCAAATTTGATGTACTTGCTGCTAAACTGAAATCGGTCGGATGTTCCAAAATTCAGATCATATGGACTGCTATTGGGCATTTTGTGCACAATTAACCTGAAATCTATTGAAGATAAATATGGGAGTTATGTCCAAATCTGAACCGATCTGAAAACAATTTGGCAGAGATATTTCTGGGCTGTGTCTGATATCTGATACCAAACATCATTTTTGTGGAGTACATATTACGAATGTGAGGGACTATAGCTATATCTGAACCGATTTTCACCATATTTGATGTATTTGCTTCTAGACTGAATTCGGTCGCATGTGTCAAAATTCAGGTGCTTTGAACTAATATTGGCCATTTGGTACACAATTGACATATATGAGAGCTATATCTAAAATCGATCCGATTCTTACCAATTTCAATAGGGTTCGTCCCTGGGCCAAACAAATGTTGTTTTGATTTTTTTTTTTTGTTTTCATCTCAATCGGATGATAAATGCGACCTGCTTGTTGTTCACAAAAGTACATGGACAGGCGGACTGACTCAAGATTCTCAAATATATCAAATGCACAAAGACATAATACCCTTACCCATATGTGGCGTAGGGTATAAACATGGAATATAAGTTAAGTATTGCAAACCGATTCAATAGCAATTAATTCAGTTATTTTTTTAATATTTAAAAAATATTTATATTTAAATACAATTAAAAACAAGTAAAGTAAGTCTTAAAGTCGGACGGGGCCGATTTTATGATACCCTACACCACTTTGCTAATTTAGTAGAGCTCCACATAACAATAAAAAGTTTTTTTTTTTTTTTATGGGAGAATTCAATCATACACGCTATGATTATAATTATAATTTAAAGTTCAAAAGACAAAATATGCCGAAGCATTTGTATCTTTTAAATTCGGACTTGTATTGCTTATTTGATATATATATGGGAGCTATATCCAAATCTGAACCGATCTTGGTAAAATTTGGCAAAGATATTTCTGAGCTGTATTTCATATATTTCCCTGAATATCGTTGTTACGGAGTGCATATTACGGCTGTGGGTAACAAATATAACAAATCGGATCTGAACCGATCTTCACCAAATTTGATATACTAGCTTCTAGACTCAATTCGTTCGTAAGTGCCGAATTTTATCCCATTTGGGCAAAAATTAGACGTTTGGTGCACAATCAAAAAAAAATCGGATGAAGTTATGTATGGGAGATATATTCAAATCTGAACTGATATCGATAAAATTTAGCAAAGGTATTTCTGAGCTGAATTTGATATATTTCCCCGAATATTGTTGTTGCAGAGTGCGTATTACGGCTGCGGAGGACTGAAATAACAAATCGGATGGACAATATATATTGGAGCTATAGCTATATTTGAACCGATTTCGATCAAATTTGGCCTAATTGGTTGTATGTCCAAAATTCCATACTATTCGGGGTGATATTACATTTGGTGCACAATAAAAGGCATATCGGACGAAAATATATATGGGAGCTATATCTAAATTTTTACCGATTATCTCCAATTTCAATAGGGTTCGTCCTTGGGCCAAACAAATGATTTGTGCAAAATTTCAGCTGGATCGGGTAATAAATGCGAACTGTACTTTGTTCACAAAAATACATGGACAGACGGACGGACGAGCGGACATGCATAAATCGACTCAGAATGTGATTCTATGCAGATCATCAAAAGGAACTATGGGTCTATCTCGTTTCCTTTTGCCTGTTACAAACAAATGCACAAACAGATAATACCCTGACCACCTTGTGGTGTAGGTTATAAAAATTTTAAGAAAGCTCACATAGACTTTATTTTGTCGCATTCATTTTCTTTAGACATAGAAAACCAGGCCATTAATCCAACAGGAATTAATTAATACCAAACCTAGATTTGCACTTTCCAATTGGCCTAAAAATAATATTCCGTTTTCTTTCGAATCAAATCCTAAGTTCCTCAACGATTATAGCAGGCCAGATAAATTCGCTCCACATAGATAATTTCCCTTTAGTTGCAATTTTATTTTTCAATGATATATTGTCCCACATTTGATTGTTCTTGAAATGACTTCAATTCTCACCAAATTAAAATATTTCTAAGAAGCCGCGTAATCCGCTTGGTAAAAACCACAATGTGGCTAGTTTGCTCACCTAATGTAAATATTTACCAGCGAGCAGTCCTAATCATGCACACATTGTGACTCTGTGTGTGTGTGCATAACGCACAAAACAAGATAACCTATCCTGACTAAGGTGTAAACATTTTGGTGGATTAACTTAATACTAAGCCGTGGCGGATTATCCTTTGTTTGTGCTGTGGAATGGTATACGTTAAAACTGCACACAAACACACACCCATTTTGTATGTGGCCTACTTGTGGCACATTATGCTCTACCTGGCAGGTAACTGAACAGAGAACATCTTCTACCTAGCTATGAGTATATATTCCATTGGAATTTGAGCAATTGACAACATTCTCATTTGAGACAATCTAAAGAGAACATCAAAGCAAAGCAAAGTTGAAAAATTGACAACAAAATGAATACCAACGCCCAACCATCCATCAGCTATACCTTGTTTTTGTACCGTGAGGAATTGAAACGCACCAAGGCCAGTTTCAAACGTTTGCATCGCACCAAAATCTCTCTCACCGATAAATTGATCTCGAAAAGTGTACGCAATTTGGAAAAATGTAGCACCGAAGATTTGCGTGTAATCAATCGGGAATTGCTCTTCAAGAAGAAGCTTAAGTATCAAATGCAACGCATACGCCAACTGGAAAAGCTGGGCATGCGCAATGTAAATCCCAATACACCAAGTACTGAATTGTGAGTTGCCGACACTGAACAAGGATTAAGCGTTAATCTGGAAAATCAATTAATGAACTGACGAGCACTACGATGAATGGTGAGTGCTAATTTCAAAGGATCGTTGGAATGCAAATGGCCAAACTAAAAAGTTATATGACCTGAGAACTCGATGGCTGTAATGAAAAATTATGGATTCAAGTATTTACATTTCTTAATGAAAAATACTGAAAAAGAAAAAAAGGATGTCATAACACCCAATTACGGTGCTGTAACAAATATTCTTTAAAAAAATAAGAATTTAAAGTCAAAAGAAAAACCCATTGAAGGGTATTTTGAATAAAGTATGGTAAAATTATATAATACATTATTAAAAGTAATAATTAATAATCGTAAATAAAAATCCAAAAAAAAATAAATTTTGGTGTTAATGTGTGTTAATTAAGCAAAGCATGAGTTGTAGTCAATTGGACTCCAAAGATGAAAAAAAAAATATTTTAATGTGCCTAAGTTCGATTCTCCTGTAAGGATCGGCAGAAGGCGTCGGTCACAACGCCATTGGAAGTTGTTAGGAGGGACGATTTCAAATTAAGGAGAAATACTACTGCACACTGCGCCATATTGCAGAATTTTACTAGTTTTAAGTAGGGAAGATACTTAATATTCAATTGAAGAAGATTTACCGATCTTCTACTCCAGCAAACATTAAAGTTTTCTGTACAGGAAGGAGTTATCCTTCCTTATCAACCTTCTTTTATTGAGGACAAATTTTAGTGGTGCGCCATATGTATATATTCGTTCACATATTTCGGCACCTCCGGCCTAAAAGCAAGTTCCTCAAATTTGATGAAAATCAGTTCAGTTATAGCTATATCTACCAATCCTATGTTTTTTTTTTACCGATTTCGTGTTTAAGACCCTAACATTCGTAGTATGCACTCTACAACAATGATATTTGTTTGATATCTGCCTAATTTGGCCACCAAAATCTCCGGATACCAATCCGTTGGACTATTGTGTCTGGAGTATTTTGGAAAGCAGGGTTGGCACAAAAAATGGTCCAAATTAAGATAGAGTTTCCATATGAAAAAACTGCAACCAACTTCACACTGCTGTCATTTCTAAGCCACCCCGACTCCGACAGCTGTTAACATTATTCCAGTGACAGCTCATTATATTGTTTACAAGCGTACAAAAGCACTTTTGTGAGAATTTTCCAGAAAAAAACTTATTCGTGATGGAATTCAAGCGTGATAGTGTGATTTCTTTATATTTGGCTGGAAAACCACAAGTGGCTATCGTTAAAGCCAATTAGAGCATTTAAATGTGAATACACCTTTTGTGTCTCGTACCATCGCTCGTTACCGTGATTGGTAGCGTAGCCCGACGTCATGGAAGTGGACGGAAGAAAAGAGCAACATCGGCAGAAATGGTTCGAAAAGTAAAGAAGCGACTTGATCGAAAGCCAAGTCGCAGTGGCCGAAAAATGGCTCGTGAGCTGAAGATATCGCTATATTCCATTCGGCAAATATTGAAAAACGAGTTGCCTCGCTTGGCCGAAAGTGCTGAACTGCCGAATTTTGTTTTCTACTATGAGAAAACGTTCGTTGTCCAGCAGTTTGTAAACAAACAAAATGATGGTGTTTACTTGCCAATGAGGTCAGCTGAAAATGTTCACCTTCGGTTGGCCACCAGAATCCAAGCGCCGACCATGGTGATTATATGGGACGCCATAACAGCCGATGGTTGCTCTCCACTCCTTTTAATCGACCGTGGCATCAGAATAAATGAATATTATCGCGAAATATTATCGCGAAAATATTGTGGAGGGTGTATTAAGCCAAACATTTTGGCCGCAGACCTTGGACATTCCAACAGGACTCAGCACGCGCCACCCAGGAAAGGTTACAAAATTAGGTTCCTCGCTTCATTTCCAGCGCACAATGGCCACCAAAATCTCCGGATACCGATCCTTTGGACAATTGTGTCTTGAATTTTTTTTAAAAGCAAGCTTGGAACTAAAAAATACCAAAGTGTCGATAACCTCAAGCAAGCGCTTCGCCGGGAATGGGTCAAAATACCGCAGAGCAACATTCGGGCAGCGTGTGACGGTTTCATTGGTCATTTGAAGGCCATAATTCGTCCAAATATGACGAATTCGAACAAATCTAAACTTATTCTAAAATTCGATGCTACATTTTTAGCTTTCATTCGATGAAATTTAAAAAACAAAAATGTAAAAATTATGCCATTTGGCTTTCTTGCAATTTTTGTTATCTCACCCTGTATTTCTCATGGAAATTGGATAATTTATACGTTTGGAAATTTATATATTTCACATATCATTTTTTAACCGTTTATTTTAAATGTTTGAAAACAGACTTAAAATCTCCCACTAAACTTCATTTTTGAGGGAAGTATTCAAAGAAAAATATTCTAAATCAAATCTGAACAAAATACGGTTAAAAATCAGTAAATTCGACCGGGCCGAACTTTGAATACCCTGTACCATTTGGAACGAATTTGAAAATTTTCCAAAAAAAATAATCTTAACAAGTAAAAAAGCTGTAAGTTCGGCCGGGCCGAACTTTAAATACCCTCCACCATTTGAAACGAATTTAGCTATTTCAAAAAAAATTAAATCAGTAAAAAATTCTGTTAAAATCTTAAAAATACCCAATTATCACTTATATTAGGGTTATACGACGATTTGGACCTGCATAGGCAAATGTTGTCATAAGCCATTACAATATTCAAATGCGAAATTTTAAAAAAATCGGTGAATAATGTAGCTAAATTCTTCAAAATGCCAAATATCGGGATGTACCATTAAAAGAGGACTATACGAAGACGTGGACCTACACAGACAATTTTCTGTCATAGGCTGAAGTATCCATTTGAAATAATTCCGGTGAATAATGTCGCTTAAATCATCAAAATACCAAATCTGGAGGTACCATTATTTGACGCCTATACGAAGACGTGGACCTGCACAGACAATTTTCTGTTCGGTGAATAATGTCGCTAAAATCACCAAAATACCGAAACTATGAAGGTACCATTATATGAGGGCTATACCAAAACGTGGACCTACATGGCTCATTTTCAATACCAAAAATCCTGCAGACATAATATACATTTGAGTAAAATTTTATCAACCCACTTCATTTCGTTCTGAAGCGAGAGTGATTTCCACAGACGGACGGACATCGTTAAATCGACATAGAATTTTATGCTGATCAAGAATATATCTACTTTGTGGGGTCTAAAATGTATACTTCGAGATGTTACAAACGGAATGACAAACTTAATATACCCTCCATACTATGGTACAGGGTATACAAATGGGCCAAATCAAAATCGGATAGAATTCTCAAAAAATGTCGCCCAAATGGCAAAAATAAAAAGACTTACTTCTAAGTGGATATTTTGGATTGTTATTGAGGGTATATACTGGTCGCATTTATTATCCGATTGAGATGAAATTTTGCAAACAATATTTTTTGGCCTCAGGACGAACCATATTAAAATTGGTGAGAATCGGATCAGACTTAGATATAGCTCCATATATCTTTAACCTATTTAAGATTAATTGTGCACCAAATATCCAATATAAGTCCATATGACCTGTATTCCGGTACATCCCACCGAATTCAGTCTAGCAGCAAGTTAACCAAATTTGGAGAAAATCGTTTAAGATAAAGCTATAGCTCCCATGTTTCATCCGATTTGGGGTTTTAAGTCCTTCACATGCTCGAAAATACCTCTTTCAAATTTTATCGATATCGGTTCAAATTAGGATAAAGCTCCCATATATATTTATCCGATATCAGGTTTATTGTCCACCAATTTGCTAATATCATCCCAAATGGACTGATTTTGGCATTTACGACTGAATTCATAACAGAACCAGTATTCCAAATTAGGTGTAAATTGATTGAGATAAAGCTGTAGCTCCCACGTATATGTTTTATCCGATTTGGGGTTTAAGGTCCCTCACACGTAATATGCATTCCACTACAATGATCTTTAGTACCAGATATCAAATACAGCTCTGAAATAAGTGTATTAAATTTTGTCAAGATCCGTTCAGATTTGGATATAGCTCCCATAAACATCCTCAACCGATTTTGGGTTACTTGTGCACCAAGTGGCTAATATCAGCCTAAATGGACTGAATTTCGGCATATCCAACCGAATTCAAATACAATAAATTTGATATACCTATCGCTCACAGAGTTTAAGCGTTTCGGGTTTAATTAGGATAATTTGTAAATTGCAATTGCTATTGGTTGCTTTTGAATAGCTCTTGAAAAAGTCCCTAGTTTTCATTTACTCTCTGTCGCATTTAATAGTCAGTCCCGCTGACTATACATTCGCTGTGACAACTTACCACATATTAATTACCACAAATATGATTTCAAAGACAACATTTTAAGAGTCTTACATTACTTCTTTATTAGAACACTTCACGTTCATTCATCGTCCAAACAATGAATCGAAATACCTTCTCGGCAAACTACACCTAACTTCAAACATTCAGTGTCAATCATCACTGGCTATCATATTTCTCTCCGAACACTTTCCATTTCATGGCAATATTTAGATACATTAACCAAAAATTTATTGAATACAACAAATCAAGAAATCGAATTCAAACTCTCTCTCTCTTTCATTCATATCGAAATTTACCCTTTTCTTTTGATTGGATTTTCGTGACATTTGCAGCAGCTGCTGCTTCACAAGAACCCGGTCTTCTTGAGACACAGCACCAGAGTATTCCAGATTTTCAGTGTTAGAGATGTTCGATTCTTGGCCAGTGACCTGATTAGTTGCATTTGCTGTTGGGTCTTTTTCGATTTCGTTGTCTTTGAGCGATGCATTTGCTTGATTTGTTGTTTCAATTTGTGGACGAAGTGAATTTCCCTGTTGACAGCCAGCATTTCTTCAAGCGTACACTTGTCTGCATTGCGTGTCGTTTTCTTAATCAATTCATCGGTTAGCGTTAGTTTGGCACAGTTCAAACGCATGACAGCGGCATGTTTGGCAGAACCCTGACGCAATTGTTGGCGATATTTGAAGAGGGCATAGGTTAGTGATGTCATTGATTTGCTTTCCATTTTGGGGTGTGTGTGAATTTATAAAATATGCTGCTTAAAATGTTGTCTTTGTTGTTTCGATGTCTCAAACGAGAATGATGCTGTTTTCGCCCAGGTGAGAGGGTTTATATAGCGGATACCATGTACCTGCTTGTTACCTGTTGTGGATGACCATTTATTAAAGGCCATTCATTCTTAATCCGCCTGTGCCTTTTTTATTGTGGGTTGACAACGTTTTTCTTTGGTTCACCTCTTTTGAGCAATAAAAGTTCATTCTTAATCCCCGATTAAGGAATTGCTAACCCTTGTATATTTGCAAATAAGAGCAAAGGTTTTTTTGCCTGTGGCCACAACTTATCCTTTATTTGAAAATGTTTTCATATTTTTTTGTTTGTACATGCTCATGTGACAAACAAACAAACAGATTAAAAGCCATAATAAACATGGTTTTTACAAAACAATTAAATTCTCATTAGGAAAAACATTCTTATAGACAAATGTTTGGTGAACTGGTATCGGTAAGGGGTACTTATGTCTGAGATTAAATTTTTGCTACATCACAATGTTTTTGTACCGATTAAAAATCCTTGTAAAAACTATACAAGGTAGAACGATGCTATTGGAAAATCATAGTCTGTGAGTTAAAACTCGATGGCTAATTGGATTTAAGTAATTCAAATCATATTACCAAAGGAAATTGGAAAATTCTTGATTAAAGATTGAGTCGCCAAACTTCCCACTAATTTAGAAAAAAGTCAAATTCGAATTTTACCTATGAACAAAATTCTCTTCCTTTTGATATAACTCTATGTTGTCAGTGCAATGCGCTCATCCCATTGTTGGCATCAATTAAAGTGTGTTTTGATACCCTCCGCCATAGTATAGAGAATATATTGGCTTTGTCATTCCGTTTGTAACTCCTCGAATCATTCAGAATAGACTCTACAAAGTATATATTTTCTGGGTCAGCGTAAAATTCTAAGACGATCTAGTAATTACCGTCTGTCTGTCTCTCCGACTGCCTGTTGTAATCTTTCGAACGAATTGAGATAG